CTTCCTGCTATTGAACATTGGTTTCAGCTGCTTCCTGTCTATTACTCCTTACTCATAGATGCTTAATACATATCTTATCACCATTGTCGGCTGATTATGAGATGGACCAAATGCTTGAAGGTGCTCCCATGGGTGCTTGGTTGACCTCCTATCAACCCAAGAGCCGGGTATGAAGTTAAAGTAACATTTTCTGAATCTAAGCCCAGATTGGAAGCACAAACCGACACCTGCTGAATTCAAATATAAAGATTGATGGTATGAAGAAGAAACAAGTTGACAGCAGCCTGCAAACGAGCCAACTGCTAATTGTTCTTCACTAATACTAATTTTGTATACCCAGCTGAAGCTTGAAACCACTCTGATGCTTGTCTTGGAAATCCTTCTTACGTGGGAACTGAGCTTGAAGGATAATGGCCTGAATCAAAAGATTGAATAGTCCAAAATGAATTGTTATGTGGAACTCCTCCACATTTAATCATCACATGATTATCCAACCCCAGGAACAAAATCTGGGAATTCATCTAAGCAACCAAATCCTACAAACCGCTAACTATTGCTGCAGGGAACAGATTCAAACTTGCTCGAAAGATGCAATGAAACAACGCTTGCAACTAGGAAATCTATGCGAGAAGGCTCAAATAGCAGGAAAATCACGATTGGGATGGAAACGAATGCCGAGAAACTCACCTCGTACGAAACAACTGCTGTAAGAGAAACTCATCTCGTACGAAATAACTGCTACCACAGCCTCCACCCAACTTAAAAAGTCCCTCTTAGTAATCCAGACATCCATAAGAGCCTAGACTTCTCAAGGCAAACAAAGCCTCCTCCACAGAAGCAAAACCAAAATCAAACCTCAACCCAACACTTGTTCGGATCTCAACCAACGCTATCAAGGGACAGAGCATAGACTACTAACGCAAATAAGCAATGAAAACTACATGGATGGACGAACCAGAAAAAAGGAAAATACCAGGGCAGCCACAACATGATATTAGAGAAATGTATTTTTCAACATCCGGAAACTCACAAGATCAAAGCAGCCTTATATTAGGACTCCATCTTTAGCTAGTTTATCTGCTTCTATACTGCAAACTCCAGGGGAGAACCTAATCAACCAACAGAACGATTTAATATCCTAAAAGTTAAATAATTTAATTAAAAAGATTCCATTATTTTTTTGAATAAAATAATTCTAGACGCCTTAAAAATTAAACGAGCACTTAGATAGTTTATAAAGATTTTAAACACGACATACAGATCAGTTATATCTCCGTAGTTTTGCATGACCTGCTATTACTAACATATAAAACGGGCAAGCTCTTCACATACAGGCGGATTGTATATAGGTTCTTCAACTCATACTTGCTTTGAGTGAGAACATAAAAATATTTGAACTAATAGAGACAAGAACCAAGTGCAAGCTCTGCAAATTGCTGGGAGTTAGCAACGTCTGGAATATGGTGCCTAGCGTCTAAAAATAAAAAAGGAGGTGCAGCCAGGTATTGCGAAAAGGTAATAAAATCATTGTATAGAAAACATTGAAGGCAACATCCAAGCTGCAAAGAAGGCTGCTCTATATCAGATTCATACTGCTATGTAAAATAAGGATATTAAAACGATTCTCCAATTGAATCAGTAATTCATTAACATAATAACATCAATTAAATTAATAATGTTGTTAATGCATTGAGATATAATAACTTACAAAAGCTTTTGATGATATACATTTTATCAAAAATATTCCCACTCTTTTGGAATTAGCTTATTTCTTTTATCTGTCACGAGTTTTTAGATAATTATTTTCTCATATGGGCAAGTTGGAGGCCGCGCGAGCATCGGTCTGACTTTGAATTGGACTTACATTAAATATAAAAATAGTTGAAATTAATTATAACATATTTAAAATGATATAAAATGTCTTTGAAACGGTTCAAGTTCAAACTCTTGACTCACGTACCACCTCTACTCCTATTAAGATTCATATTACAAATCCTTTCAAAAAAATTACAAATCCAAAAAACAAGCGTGGGAAGTGCTTTTTTTTGTTCTTGTTGAAAACAATATAATAATATTCCCAAGTAGAGAAGTAGAAAGTTAATTTTACTCTTCCTCATGTGAATTAAGGTTATAATTACACGGACTATCCAGAAATCTTATTCAAAAAGAAAATCAATGTACCAACTTTGCCAGTTTTTGGGGATGATGCTTATATAGAACTCTCAAGGCGGTGGCCCGGAAAGGACAATTTGAACCAACGAAACCATTTACCAAGTGGAGATAAGTGCTGAGATCGTGACAACTCACCACTCCTTCCTTGCTGAGCTGCGGGCACTCTTTGCTGCTCAATCTCAGCTCTTGTCCCACTTCTGCATAAACCAGTTCCGTCTCTCGCACGCGCTTTTCAACCCATCCTGGCAATCCTGCCTCCTTGTTTGCCTCTACCGTCTCATTGCTGTCAATTACAAAGCCGGGTACTTTTGTGATCACGTCATCCGAGTTTACTATACGTAGAATCTTCGTCCCGCTTTTCTCTAGCTCGCAGCTGAAGCTTTGGTTTCCGACACGTGGTCCCCCGAACGAGATGACGGTCACCATTGGTGCATTACCAAAGGTGGATTTTATATCGTACGCTGCAAGCGTTGCTAGTGCTGCTCCCAGACTGTGGCCGGTGATGGTGATGCTGAGGGGTTCATTGCCGTACATTTGGAGTACTCTTCCGACCTCTTCCCTCACCATGTGCTGCAAGCTAGGACAAGTGTCGCTATCGGAAGTGTAGAGGCTCAAGAATCCACTCTCCACCTTGGCTCCGTCGCCTTTAGGACCCACACTGGACATGTCATTGGGTAGACAAGTCAGCGTGGCGCGTAAATTCTCGAGCCATTCCAAGCAAGTGGCGGTGCCTCTGAAGGCAATGACGACGTCGCGCCGGCCGAGCCGGGCCAACTCTTCCTTGTCATGGCAAACAGCCACGTAACCAATCCAGCTGGACTGAGTGGAAATCCAGGTGGATTCCCTGTCAATCCAAGTGGGAAGCTGAATCCCAGAAGTGGCACGCAAGTGCTTGGTGGGTTTATAACCTGTATCTCCAATGCAAGATCGCGTGAGTATGGAGTTCTTGGGGAACTTAGACGTGGCATAAGTGGGAGAAGAAGGATCGAAATCGAAAGAACGATACGTTGCTTCCACGAATCTCCCGTATTTTAGAATCTCACTTCTTAGAATATTATCAAAAGGGTCAAGCAAGCCTTGCCATTTACTTATTCCCTGATACTCCATCCAGTCCTTGGCTAGTTTTGCTGAGTTAGAGTGAGATCCATGTGAAAACTCAGTAACGTTGAGCTTTAGAGGGTCAATAGCGGTGGAAGGGGCAGAGTAGGGAGTGAGTTTAGGAATAGTAGGCGTGGGCCAAGTGCATGGCTTGACAGTAACACCAATTGCAGCAACCCTCATAATTTTGGAGTAAAAGCTTCAAATGTTTAGTATCTGAACATAGTTAGGAGTGGAGCTGGAGAGATGGTTACATAATCGAGCTGGACTTGCCCTAAAGGAGGGGGGTGGAATGGGGTTTTATAGAGAGCGTGGACGGCAGTGCATGAGTAGGCACTTACACCGACTGTTAAACCAAAGAGAAAGAGTGAAAGTGAAGTATGTGATGGCATGGGAGGTTCAAGTTCAAAATCAGTAACAGGAAAAACGGCCGTGGGTCCAACACCAACCCATGTATTTCCGACCATAGGGCGTTTGAACCACATGAATTTGTTATTAGGGAATTCATAGTCGGAGCTGGTTAGACTAGCTACTATGTTGACCGCTTAATTTCTGGTATTTATGCACACAAGGCAAAAAGTAGTTGGAAGCTCAAAGATGACAAGGGCTCTAAATTCTGAAACATACTCTAACTATAAAATTTCAACACCAAAAAGGAAATCCTTGTTTTTGAGTGACAATACGTATTTATATACACGTATAAATATCTGTGTATGACTGAAGAAAACTACTATCACCGTTCAATTTAAAACTTTCTAATCATATTATGTAAACACCTATGCAAATTAAGCATGGCACATGCACGTTGCTTGTTAGAAACTAGAAGACCTTATTTATTTATCAATGCGTTCGATTTTTAGAAATCAAGTTGAGGACATTGCGTATATATTACGACTTTGTTATCCTGCATGATCTACATGGAAAAGGTTCTCGAAACCAGAGAAACTTGATGAGTTTTTCTCAATGGATGTTAAATCAAGGACATTATGTATGTATTACGATTTTGTTATCACGCAGGATCTACATGTAAAAGGACCGTGAAACCGGAGAAACTTTGTCAATGGATGTCGTCTATTGGCTCTATACAAATCTCTCTAAGCCGTCTTGGTTTGCAATACCCGGTGATGGTTGAGAGTGAATAATTGGAGCTATTTGTTGAAACTTATGGAAGCATCGGAATAGTGTTATTTGTTATGATAATTTTATAGAAAAGGAATGTGTCTATAGCAGTAGCTTAACGCTTAAACTGAAGGTTAAGTGTATGGCACCATTAGTCTCAGTTAAGTGTGAGGGCACTAGAGGTGCACAAAAAATCCGAATATCCGTTTTTACGTAAAAAATATCCGAAACCGGATTTGATAAAAACCGGTTTTTTTTAAACCGGATCGAATATTTTAAAACCGGATAGTATAACCGATTTGAGAAAAAATTGGACGACCAGATTTTTTACTGTATTAAAAACCGGTTTGAAAAAAACCGGATAAAAAACTGATTTTTTATCCGGAAAAAATCCGGTGTGGGGTTTAAAAAATTAGATGACCGGATTTTTTACCGGATTAAAAACCGTTTTTTTTAAAACTGCCGGATTTTTTACCGGATTAAAAACTGATTTTTTTATAAACCGGTTTTTTGGCTTAGTGAAAAAACCGGATCGAATTTAAATCCGGCTATGTGCATCTCTAGTGGGCACCATTAGTGATCCTATTTTCAAAGTCATAACACTCCTTTGCTGTTTCCAAACCTCACATTTGATTGTAAATGCATTGTCTATTTTCTTCCTTCTTCTCTTTGCTAACATTGTTACATCACACAAAATCAAAAAACGCAAGTCTTAAAAATTTTCAACAAAAATCGGTTTAATCTGCACAACCACCTCCATTGTCTTTTCTCACCCATTGTCTAACAGGTTTTCGAGAATTTTGTGCCCTCGGCCTCCTCATGCCCGAGTTCCAGTGCTTACTGGTGGCAGGCCTAGTCGACGAACCACTTGAATTATTTCCTTCAGTTGCTGCTGCTGCTGCTGCACTTGTTTCCATGGCCGACGCATGGTCTGATGATATGACTATATTCTGGGGGTTTATGCTAGGAAAAACCACACGGTCTACCTTCAATCCAATCAAACCACAGTTTTCTTGCTGCAGTTTTAGTATCTCCTCAAATTTCTGCCTCCTTATATTCTCCAAGTCTGAATGAATAAGCTCCACATCATCTTTAACTTCAGCTTTATCCGCACTCTGAAACCCGAACACAATCAGGAATCAAATTCATCAACTTTAAATAAAATACGAGATGGATGTAAGCTTTCACAAAATCTATTACAATAAAAGATCAGATGACATACTGGTTGTGAAGAATGAGAGCCAACCAGGTCAAGCACGTGTTCAAAATCCTTGACATGGAAAACCTTACGGCAAACAGGACAATTCCCCATGCTTTCTTCTACTGCTCCATTCCTATCTAAAAATAGTTCAAGCAAAACTTAGAAGAAAATTAATGTAAGAAAGATACCCTAGATGAACCAAAAAATGCCATAAATAGTGAAACCTTTAGCAATATATTCACTTGTAACCATTTACAATAATATATTTAGTGTTCATTAAAATTGACTACTACAAAGCCAATACAACTTAGTGCCCTAACAAATTCACATATAACACGTAACCACATTTCATTTTATCTCCAAATAAGTAAATAAACTAGAAATATAACATTTTTTAACTCGATATTTGATGTATACCTGTCTTACATTCATATAGGAAGGAAAACCATTTCTGAAAATCAAAGCATCAAAACAAAATAACAGAAATGCAAAAGTTGGTAACTATCCTAACAAAGATAAATATATTGAACTCCATCATGTCTGAAACCAGACTATCTTTACTTCCTTTGGCAGGAAAGAAACAGAAAAGTTGGTGGGAATTCACCCAGGAGAGTTCAGGATCTTTTGCACAATTAAAAGAATATAGTAAGAAATAGATTGTTCAATTACAAAGCTGTTGTTAATACTTCAGGTGTATATAGGGATTGGGAATAGATTTACAACTATTGTATTGTGCTCTATAGAGTAATTCTTTTTGTACGGTTGTAAGATTTTAAAGAAGCAAGGAATTCCTTGCTTCTTTTGGATGAATAGAATTTACTTGCCCAATAAAAGAAACCAGACATCTTTTTACTTGAGCAAAGTATTGTTCAATAAACATTGTATTGTGCTCTATAGATTGTTCAATTACAAACTGTTGTTCAATAGATTGTTAATACTTCTTTTGGATGAATATAGTAAGAAATAGATTGTTCAATTACAAAGCTGTTGTTAATACTTCAGGTGTATATAGGGATTGGGAATAGATTTACAACTATTGTATTGTGCTCTATAGAGTAATTCTTTTTGTACGGTTGTAAGATTTTAAAGAAGCAAGGAATTCCTTGCTTCTTTTGGATGAATAGAATTTACTTGCCCAATAAAAGAAACCAGACTATCTTTTTTACTTGAGCAAAGTATTGCTCTTCAAACATTGACATATCCTGTTCTATTTTAATCCGAAGTATTTCAGCATGTTTTGCTTCATTGTTGAACAAAAGATCTATATATAATAAAACTTATAAAAGCATACACTGATCTGCCTCTGCATGTTTACAATTCTTCAATAAAGATAATAATAATAATAATTTGTATAACACTACAAAGCATGCCAAATATTTACCATTACAATCTCCTCTCCTCTGTTCTACATCAAAGATGGTTGCTAATTTGCAATGTGAATTAAACATACCTGGTTGACCGCCTGTATTCCTTAAATGTAGAGTTGCACTAGATGCATTCTTAGTATTATTCTTGTTCTCAATTTGAAGCCAATTCCACCACCTAATAATGCACTCACTGGAATAAACAAAAATACCATATAAAACATAAAGCACTGAAGCAGAATGAAAATAAAGCAGGAAGTGGAACCCAAACATAAATTTAGAAATGATTAAAAATTATACAAGACAGAGAAAGTGCTACTGTACCTATGGAAACAATGAAAACAAGACATCAATTTCATAAAAGGCAACCTTTCTGTCTGGTCATCTTCTGACACCAAGGGAAATAAGCACAATGGACAATCACCATCAGGGTGATTCATAGCAGAAAGCCTCTCAACCGCTTCCTACAAACAAATTTGAATCATTTTTTGTTGTTTGCAAATAAGTAAAATTCCACAACCAAATAAACTATAAAGACAGCCATTTAAATTTCAGATTAGATGAAACCACTATTCATTTCACCTGTCTAGATGTTCCCTACAACTACTATACAAAAGGAAGAAGTACATAATCTGGTTAAGACTTGTAACATTGAGAAACACGGTACAAAACTAGCATATCATAATAGCAATAAGAAAGTCGGAAAGCAAAAGGTTTATAAAGACTTGAAATATACCAATTAAAAATTTACCATGCTTTAGTCACCAGAATACCCCCTTTCAAATTTCTCAAACATTTTGGAAAACAATAAAAATATACCATTCAATACTGTGGTTACCTCACAAAGTGCTACAAGCATAAAACAAGAAGGGAGTTCACAGGCTTTGTCTCTTATGTTACTTATAAGATGAGTTTGCCTTTGTTCATCAAGACCCTTGGAATCAATAAGATAAATAAGAGGAGGCTCCTTAGGATACTGCCATTAAAATTGGAAGTTAGTAGCGGGAATGCAGTAAAGATAAATCAAATTTTCTCCAATATAATTAATCTCATTTGTGCATTAATCAAAACGCAATTATAAGCCGCCACTAACTCTCATCAACTACTAAAAATCCAAAAGTGAACGCTATAAATACCTGGGAGCTCCCTCGAATTCCAATAACTGCTTCCACAAACTGAAAATAAAAGTTAAGGAAAAGGGTTAAATTAAACCTAGTGTCTATCTGAAAATTTTGATTCGTTCTTTTGTACAACTAAACTATACCTACCGAGATTTGTAATCATAAAAACAAAATAGACACATAGCAAAAGAAAATTAAGCAATCGGAAATAAAAACCCTAAATTTAGGAATCACTATCTAGTTATTCCTTGATGTTTACCCGTTGGGAAGAGATATCGGCAGTGCGAGGCTTGATGTGGAGGTGAAAGTACGGTGGATACGATTCAATGATCACGCAATCATCACCATAAACGGATTGCACCGCCTCCACTTCTATCTTCACTTCCTCTTCTTCCGCCATTTTCCCCTTTCTATTTTTATTTTATTTTATTATTATTTTGGCGATGTGGTTTAAATAACGAACTTTTGATTGTCGACGAGGGGTGAAAAGACTTGGCTGACAGCTCGTGTGACAATTTCACGTTGTGAATTGACGCCACGTGGTACATTTAGCTTCTCGCCACGTTGATGAATATTCGTAGCAGGGTGTTATGTTCCGTCACTCCCAAAAATTAGCACCTAGGGGCCGTTTTGTTAAAGTCAATACAGTAAGAAGCATACCAGATTACACCTTCAGTTTCTAAATTAACCGTTTAAACTGCGATTAAAAATTCCTTTGAATATTGCTTAAAGATCTAACTGAGAAGCATTGGACATTATTTTTCTCTCGCCCATATTTCTTGTCCCCGAAAGATTATAACTTCCTGTGTTACATACATACATACATATTCGATACTACAAACCTTCTGTGTTTTATGTCTCTGGGTCTCTAGCGTTATATACTTCAGGCCGCCATCGTTATAAGCTCTCAAGAACACTGTAATTCAACATGAAATATCTCTTATTCGTAACGCATAGAGTTCTTCTGTTGCCATCCAATCACCTTATACTTAGGGGTATGATTATATGAAAATTTTAAAATATAAGCTGTTAATATAAAGTTAAAAGAAAGGTTATAGTCGGTTTTCAATAATTTTTTCTATTAAAAGTGTAAATTTTTAGAGTAAATTAGATAATATTTTGCGTTCTTCTTCGTACAAATCATGTAAATTTTATAACTATTCTAATGGCAACCTAAAATATTATTGTCAAAAAATTCATGTATACATTTTTTATTATAATCGAAAATATTATCTATTATATAATTTTTAAAGTAAATAAAATAATATTTTAGAAGCTAAATTACAACTGAAATTTACATTTATTCACTGAATTTTATTTTATCTCCTATTTCACTCACTGCATTTTTATTTTTTTTTAATTTAATAACTGAATTCTATATGTTAAATTTTTTATCATTCCGCCGTTAAATGTCTAACAGCGTTATGACATGAACAAATTAAATTATTTTTTAACTTTTGAAATTTAGATTAAAAGAATGGTTAAATTAAATTATATTTTAACTCTCCTATCTTCTCTTTCAAACCCTTCTTTTTGTCTTTTTCCCATCTTCTTTCCTCCAGCTCACATTTTCTTCCATTTCTCTCTCACCAGAGACCACCTTCCAATTCAGAATTTTGGATTGTGAAATGAGAAATATTTATTAATTCAATTTAACATAAGATTAGAATTTAGGTCCAAAACCTAAATCTTTAAATCTAAAACTAAACCCTAAACTCCCAAATCATACCACCAAAGGAGTCTACAAATATCGTTACACCGGCAGATAGGTATCGACTTAAGCTCCATTGATGATCAGAGTATTACATGTGGGAAGTATCACCATACTCCCATAATTCGTCCGTAAGGCATATCCTCCATTTCCCAACCCAGTTTTGGATCAATGGCATATCCTGCAAATAAAAGGTTTAGATTTGACTTTGGATTTCAATATGGAGATTGAGATAGAGAGCATCAGGGAAGAAGATATTGACAGAATCTTGGGAGTTAAATCAAAGAGAAATTGAAACAATTGTAAAAAGTTACGAGAGTAAATGAGATTTGAGATTATTAATGATGAAACGAAATATAATATATCATTTTTATAGTCTGATGTAATTTCAAAATGAATGCATTTCATTTTAGAAATTAAAAAAAATGGAGTATGAAAGAAAGTGAGAAGTGGAAGATGTCCATTAAAAAATCCATGTGGTGATTATTATTTGAGAGAGATGATGAAGAGAACAAAGAAGATGCAAACTGTTATGGATGATTTTTCTTCTGCCAATTTCCTTTTCACGATAAAGTTTTTAGGGTTATGAATTTTAACCTTACAAATTAAGTTTTTATTAAATATAAATCTTATGTAACAGTCTTAATTTTAAAATAAATCATGTCATAACACTGTTATGAAATAAAAGGTAGAGTGATAAAAAAATTAAATGTATAAATATCAATGATTAAACAAAAGAAAGGGTAAAGTATATAAATATACTTAAACTTTTAGGGCGCTTGTATTTTTGTAACCCAACTTTTGATACTTACAATACAATCATCAAACTTTTAGTTCGTTTTCAGTAAGGTCTCTGTCATTACCTCCCCTTAGTTCATTTTTGTAACCCTTCTTCTTCTTCTTCTTAAGTAACGACGAATGGAGGAGGGATGATGGCGAGGAGGCACGACCCACTGGGTTTTGGTCAGAACGGTATGTAGACTCTAACAGTCGTGGCAGAGTGGTGAATGGACGTCCCAATCGACCAAAAATCAATGAAAATAAAAAGGGACGTTGGGATTATTTGACGAGATTCGGGGGCCTCTCCAAGGTAGACGGAGGTGAGTCTCGACGAGTGGCTAGCAGGGTTTTGGTCGAAATAAGGCGGCGCTTCTATTGGTACTAGTGATGACGGTCATCGATAACTGACGATGGAGACCAGGGATAGGCGTTTGAATGATCTTCTCATGATTTGGGACAAATGGTGGATGATGAGTATGAATTGAGGGTCGGGTGTGGTCGGGAGGTAACGTGGGTGACAATGGTGATAGCGGTGTGAGCCACTGCTGGTGGGTGATCAGAGGTGTGAGAGAAGAAGAAGGAAAAAAGAAAGAAGAAGAGGGGGGTTGTTGGGGTTAAGTGCCACGTAAGCAAAAAACTAATGGGAGGTACAAGAGAGACCTTACTAAAAACGAATTAAAAGTTCGATAATTGTATTACAAGTTTCAAAATTTAGGTGACCAAAATACAAACACTCTAAATTTTAAGGATTATTTATATATTTTATCCTAAAAATAAGATTACAGTGAAAAAATATGAGAGAAAAATAAAATTCAGTGAATAAATTTATAATTTATCTTGTTTTAAGCCCCGCGAATTAATCTTAAATTTCCTCGCCGTAAAGCAGAAATACCGATTATTATAAGGACAATATAATAATCTCTTCTTTCCTCGGGCCCGAACAAGAACAGTTTCTTACCATAAAACCCACCATGGTTGGGTCTTTAGCGACCCTCACACGCAGTGTTCTATCTTCCACGTGATGTCAAATAAATGGGTTCAGGTTGGAAATGGGTTGTTAGATTCCATTCCTCATCAAACGAATTGATTATCTGTGATGGAGAAATATATCTGAATGAGTCGAAATAGTGTCTAAATTTTTTCTTCATTTTCTTGGCGAGATGTGGGAATCATGTGCTCACTTCTACTGCTTTTTTCTTTTAAACATACTTGTAGTGCTATGAATGAAAGTGAAATGCACTTTTAATTTGCACCATTCTTGATGCTCCCAAAAATTAAGAATTAAACTCACTGGTTTATTTTTGGACAGTTAATTTGATTTTCGAGCACTTTAATAAGTGCAGCTTTATCATTCCTTTCTGAAAATGCCTCTGTATTAGAATTTGGGAGCAGGCCTCTTTTCTAGTACTATAACTAACTTTATGATATTACATATGTGCTATATTGAAAAGCATGTTAATTTATCTGATTGCACTATTTTGCGGAGACTATCTGGTTCAAGGTTCTACTTACTGAAGACTCTGGTGTAGGGAATCTTGCCTTCTTCTGAGATTTACAACAAGTTTTAGTCCTAATTTTGGATTGAAAAGTCTTAGAGATGTATTAGCCTTGTCCCACTCCTAGATTTTATGCGATTTCATCGAATTTCTCCATTATTAGATAAAAAAATAAAGAGTAAATCAATTTTATATTTTTCAATAAAAAGTTACAATTGGTTTGTTATGATAATTGTATATATATAATTGCTTTTGTAAGTTAAAGACGTGGTATATTAAATGAAGTTTTTTCCTTTCTTCCTTAGTTCGTTTCCCTATTTATGAAATAATTGGGTTGAGAGAATCATCATAATGAATGTTTACGGTACCAGATCTGACTACTCAATCAAATAGATTTGATTAGTATGGTTTACCAAAAAAAGGAGAAAGAACGACACACTATTGATCATTGGTTGATTAGTATGATCAGAGTTAAATCCTTAAATAAGGTCAAATATTTAAATTCTGATATTTTAAATGAAAAATCAGGATTGAGAATATGACTCATTTAGTAAAATTTTATAATATTCAAATAAATTAATCAGTCAATAAATTAGATATTAAAAATAAAACACTCACACGAAGCATTAATCAGGCAGCAACACAGGCACAGCAGCCTCCAGCTGCATCACGCTGCTCAATTATGTACACGTAAAGTAACTAATTAAATTATATTTGGAACATGAAATGCTAGTGAAGTCATGGCAATCGGCATTTGGACGAACGTCAGCCAGAAAATCTAAACCCGCTAGTGGGACATAAATTCGGGGGCACGGAGACGTAAAAAACCATGTGCTCTTCATTAATTCCAAATTCACGTTTCTTCTCCAGCTGGCCATGTGATTCGTTGACTACTGCGTTAGCAAGATCTTTGTTTTTTCCCCTTTCCCCCATTGTGGCTTTGATCACATACTGCAAATTGACAGCTTCACTAATATTGAAAATACCAATATCTTTGTCGTTTTAACTTAGTCTTATTAGGTTAGTTAGCTGTTCAAACGAAAGCTGTCGCATACGAACGTTGCATATTCGGCTGTACGTACATTGAATTAGTGACATCCAACAGAACAATAACTTGACTAAAAAGAAACTGGCATTGAGCATTCCTTATGTTCACATGCTATATACATATATAAATTCACGAGCGTGACTAAGCATTTTTACGACAACTGAAGCCTCTATGGAAGCAAGCTGCAGAGTGAGTACGCTTAGGTTTAAAGAACAAGTATGCGCTTCAGACATTTATAGCTGATACTATGGATTTCATTGCATGTTTCTCCTTCCCTAATTGCAGTGGGAAACCTAATAATTCATCAGGTAAGTTGTTTAATCATTTCAATGAAGGTGGATGGGTCATAAATCAATGAGAGTACATTTGAATTAATCCTGTATCCGGCGA